GAAACTAATAAATAAATAAATATTGACGCCGTAGGCCTATTTTAGAAACTAAATTAATCATTTGAACAAATGAAGTGTTCATTTGCAAAAAAAAAAAAAAAAAAAAAAAAAAAGATAAAAACCATTAAAAAAAACGAGCTGAGGCATGTAATTTACTCTTTGCATGGCGCTGCTGATAAAAAGTGTGTTTTTGAAAAATCATAAAGAAAATTTATTTGATATAAATTTGTTGATGGTTTAACTATTTTGTAACCTGACAAGCCAGAATGATCATGTATAGCAATCATGTTTAAATCCCTTAAAAAAGTGTTAAATGTTTCAGAGACTGGATAAAGAAAAAATATATAGGCTAAATATATATTGTTTCAGTTTAAGTACAAAAAACGTAATATAAGAGTGTCTCTATCGTAATAGAAACCAGTAAACATTTATAAAATGCTCAGTAGGCCTATTTGAGAAGATTCACGTGTAAGTAACATTTTTAAGCGTATAATTCAAACTACTACGGCCTCTGTCCAGCACAGCACAATCAAACAGAAACAGTTCCCTTTCTGCACCGCTTTGCTGGATTCAGGTCAGATGTGACTGTCCTGACTGGAAGCAGCTGAGATAAAGGCAGCAGGCTTATCTCTCTGCGGTCGGTGAAATGACGCGTGAAAAACGCGCAGTGTCAGAGAAGGCGGCGGTCCGCTAAATGGTGCCAGAGGGAACAACATCAGGACATCAGATCATTACTACCACAGGTGCATATTGTATTTTGCTCATTATTTTTACATGGCCTGTTAGATGCAATGACAGTGTAAAGACCCTGTGCCAATAGCATAATAGGTAATAATCACATTTATATGCATTTGTTGTGTTTTTTGTCTTTGTCTTGTTTTTAAAGAAGGGATTCCAGAGTGATAAAGTTCTGCAAATATATAAAGCATTGTATTTTGCGCAGTGAAAATAGAGTTGGTTTCAGGAATGTTGTTTTTAGACTTAAAAGTAGGGGGGGAAATATTAATCTTTTTTGTTTGGGATTTATGAAAACGCTATAAAAAAAAAAGCACAATTACTGTAGGTACAGGCCTTATCAAAATAATGCATACTTATTTGAATTTTCAATCTTACTTTATGGTTTTGTGGGTTTAAACAGCAGAGGGAGCAAGTGGAGGAATGCTGGATGTATTCACACGATGTAAATGCTTCTATTAACTGCAAACTGCTGTCGTTATTTCTGTGTTGTGTTGTTTGAATGCGCTTTCCAATCTATAGCCATGGAGCTGAAACAATGCGTCGCGCAAAAAACGAGTTCCATTTATCTTTGTCCGCGACGCAGTGTGAAAAAGAGAGAGAGAGGGGTGGAGAGGGAGAGGAGGGACAGCGCTGAAATACTGCATTTCCGCTGCAGAGACGCAGACAGATCAGTGTGGATGGTGTGTAAATCCGCAATGAGAGCCGCTGAAAAATGTCCAATACACTTACAACAATGATAAAAATGTGTGGGGAAAATGGTTGGGGATCTGATTCTTTATTTTTTGTGTTTTAATGTGCGCAATATGGCTTTCAATGTTGTGCCAATGCAGACAATAAAACAAGTTGGGTTTGTTCCTTAAAGCAAATGTTCTGGTGAGCGATTGCAAATATCTTCATCTAAACTTTCTTTTGGGTGAAGCAAAAGGAAGTAGTCTGGTGTTTTCTGATATGGATGGATCTCAAGAAAATGGCACAGTGGATGTAATAATCTACTCAATATTAATTTGTAAGGTTACTCCTAAAGGAATTTATTTTATTTATTTTTTTGCTTACATTAAAAATACCCATGCCCAACTCTATTGTAGAAAGAGGTCAGAACTGCAAAACACATGTCAGTGCACAGATAGCAAAAAGCAATTGAACCATATATTCAAGGCTGAATCAAGGTCCTCCTCGCTGTTCTTCTTTTAAAACACTGTTTAAACTTCAATTTATTATTCATCATGAATTCTAAAAACAGTGTCTGTCTTTTTATGAAATTATATTTTCATGCGTAGAAAGACACCCATTTTTTTATTAAACAAGTAGGCAACTTGCCTACTCAGCACATTCTTGTACATTTAAAAAATATTTTTTTAAAGAAATTATAAATTTTCTTGAAATAAATATAGCTACATTCAGTTGATTTTAAAACAACCATATGCGCGACCTATGATCTTATCTGGTAGGATAACCTTTCATAAAGCACGCATCTTATACCCTATTAACAGCAAGGTTTTCTAGTAATGTTCTTGCACTGTGAAATACTCTAAGGTAGCCTAGAATGTCCAAATTTAAAAACTTTATAAAACCAGAAGCAGGACATTAGAACAGAACGTGCAATAATGGGTGCGTTGTTTGAAAATCCTGCAGCCTAAACCCTTTCTAATCTTAGGCGACATGGTTTAGGCCTATATATATTAAAATATTGGCCAGATTTTAATGTTTTGCCGTCTCTCTTTTTTAAGTATTTATTTTATATTCATTCTTGAAACATTCCGGAGACTCACCTGCAGGTCTGGGTTTTCTTCATGCTGATGATGCGCTTCTTCCGCAGCCTCCACCAGCCGCTGAGGAGAGGAAAAAGGCCCGTTAGTTCCTGCACATGTTACAGAAGTTTCAGAAGGCCATGACCAATCAGAACAATGATTCCTTAGAAAATATTCTAAGGAAAAATCTTTTTGAGATAATGTACAAAAACCTCTAACTTTCTTTAGAAAAGTATTTTCCTCTGAGGTGCGTCTTTTAACTTTTCCAGTTAAGAACTTCTTTCATATTAGAACTAACCTGGTTAAATTTTACATTTTAATTCTACGTTTTTATAGAGATTGGACATTTAACGGGTTTGTGAATATCATAGCTGCATAAGGAAGGATGATCGATGGATATTTAGTTGGCGTTCACCAACGCCGCTATAACCTTCAGCTGTAACACCTGGAGAGAAAAAAAAAAGGCAAATAAAAAATGTGCTTAGGTTCGGTGTTTCCGGAGGAAACCGAACATTGAAATCGTTCTCGCCTTAGGAGCCAAGCAGGTAATTAACATCTGTCACATGTGTCAAAAATAACTGCAACATAAACACAACTCAGGCTGCTGAGCCAAATTCAATTGACCTCACGCTAAAATCTTGTTTCGTCAGCAGAGAAAAGGTCAGGAAAGCTCTATGCATTACATTTTTTTTCCAGTGGAGAACGCATTTTCCTTTTAATGTAATGTAAACACTCAGATACACGATAACTTTAGAATTTGAAGTAAAATTATTACTATTATTGCTTTTCTTGTATTTATGCTTTTAATTAAATTACATAGTATTATAGTTGTTGGATGTATCAGCTTTTCTTATCTAGCAGAATCTCTTTTATTGAATTAAACGCCGTTATTTAGACCCTAATTGCAGCGACTTATCGCCCTCTTGGGATCAGGCGCAGAGAGATAAACCTTATCATTGCTCTGCAGTCCTACAGAGGTGCAGCTCTGAAATGCTCTCATGTCTTAGATAGCTGATGCAGCTCTGAACACATCATGCAACAAAACACATAGGGAGGCTTTGCTCTACAAAAAAAAGCAGTGGCTTTAAATTCTACTAATGATGAATAATTAAGCAGACCCGCATTGAAGGAGTCCCAGAAAACTCATTTAGTTTAGTCAATTTCAGAATGAGTTTGCGACAAAAATGCGATTTGTTAAATGGTACTTTAACTAATTAGCTACTTTAATCAATTCCTGTAGGTGTGTATAACAGCAGCTTAACTGCAAAATTAAACCAAATGGCAAAATAGTCCTCTAATTCAAGTATTATTTGGTAGGAAGAAAAAAATCCCAAATTAAGAAATTAAAATCTCTCTAAAAATGACTACTTTCAGGGTCTATGAACTTTTTTGATGCTCTCATTTATGACACAAGACAACTTTGTTCCAGCCCCTCTTTAAAATGTACAGGAAGAAGGTTATGGTGGACCCACCTACATGCAGGAGGAGAGCCAGAACATTTATAATAAGAAGTCTAATAAGAACAAAGTTTCAGATGAGGCAAAAGGCTGCAAAGGAATCTATAGCAAGGAGCATGACCTGTAAACAACAAAATAATCCAGCATAGAGTAGGTGAAAACAGATGTAGTGGGAGGAATAACCACTGAGTGAGGTATCAGGGATTACCCTGATGGTTGACAGTTTGAAAGTGGACATGAAGCTAAGCACAGAAATATTTATTAAAGTTTTTAAATCATATGTAAATAAATACATCCATAGTCCAGGTATAGTTACAATATTTTAAATCCAGACTAACTATGACAACCAAGGCTGGTGACAACCCAAGTTTATCCTGCCACCATGCAAAGGTGGTACTGAAGGGAGGGTACATACAGTAAGAGAGCTGCAACAACAAAACAAGCACCTGTAGTTCATTAAGTCTGTACATCAATTAATTGGAATAAAGACCTTTTTATACATCCTTAAAGGGATGCTAATGGGGATAATGTGTGTAATTACGAATTTACAACAAGATAAATGGTGTCATCAAAAGGCACAAAGTTATTTTGCGCTTATTGAGCCACTACCTCTAAGAGAAGCAACACCCCTGACCCGCCCTCTCCCTCATAGGGACAATCCCAACCCCACCTTTTGCTGTGCCACAGCTTTCAATTTTCTGCTATGCAATGAATGAATTGAAAATTGATTTCCGCAACATGTTTTTTTCTTTTTTTTAACATACCCTGGTGGCTTCCGCTTTCCTCTGGAACATTTCCTCCATCTTTACAGCCAGGTTTTTAACCAGCTTCACACCATCAATCTCCTCCACTCTGACCGACTTTTCAGGCTCTTTATATTTCTGAGAAAATAATCATAAACAAAAGTGACAGCTGGGACAGGTGGAGATATTTTGAAACGGCAGTTGACCCATTAAGGCTAATGCAGTTATTCACATTGTATTATGTTAAAAGAAAGAAAGCGATAAGATGCCTCATAGCATATCAGCACAGCATTGTTTCAATTCACTCGCTCCAGAGAGGCAGTGGCTGTTAAACAAGGATTATAAACATTGATGTATTTGCTGTCATGATGCATGCAGCCAGACATATGGGAGTGCTTGATATAACCTGCAGTTAAAAAGGACCGACTGTCTTTAAATGTTCTTAGTGATTGGCTACAAATGCAGAGTATCCCTTTCTCTTTTATTGGCTGGAGGTGGCCATGTTGGGTGGCCACTGGGAGGGGCTGTGTAGATGGGAAGGAAGGCTATGCATGGTAAGAGGGTAATTGAAATGGAGTCAAAGCACGAGAGAAAGATAATAACATGTCAAGCTCGGGCAACTCCGAGTAATGAACTACACCTAAAATAATGCTGATTGTGCCGGATGTACAGGACCTCCTATGATAAAAACAAAAGCTTGCAATGGCTCAGAGGAATATAGCATTGCATAATCCAGCATCTACCAGGCGCTCACAAAAACACTGTATTACAAAACAAAAGACTTCACATTTTCTCATTTTCTGCTTCCAATAGTGTTATCCCAAAGAGAACAGAATAAGCTCACACATTCAAAAGGAAAACAGAATGTGTGGACAAAACACACACACCAGGACATGAGGCGACAAATTACCTACTGAGAAGAATAGTGTGAATTTGCAGTGGAGCAGAACAGTTCATTTCACGCCTGTCCTCCTCACCCCAGCACCCCAAGCCCCCAGCCCCAACACCGACCCTCAGTCTCACCACCTCGCAAGCCCTTAAGTCGTCAAGTGGAGGT